CCTGTATTTAATCTAAAAAGACAACAATAGGGAGACAATGAAGCTTTGATCAAACTACCTTTAGACTATAAATTCCTACTATGATACCATGTTTTCTTAGAAGAAATCGAAGAGGAGAGGAAGAAGAGAAGAGAGATAGAGAGAAAATAGAGGTTTGGGAGTCAAAAGGATAGGCTAGTGTCGCCAACCTTACTATTTATATTAGGGCACCCCAACAAATAAAATAAAATGTGTACAAAAGCAAAAAAACCCTTGCAGCTCTAAGTACAAGTACTGTTAATAAAAACTAGGACTTGTACTTATTAGTGCATCACCCATTCCACTATTGTATGATAACACTAGAGCCATTGTTAAGGAACCTAGAGCCTATTCAAAGTTTAAGCACATCGAAAGAAAGTATCACATCTAATGGGAAATAGTTGGAAGATGAGACATCCAAATACAAAATGTAGCACTAGCAGATAATGTGGCAAATCCATTGACTATGCCACTAAGAAAGTGTTTTAAGAAATGGGACTATAACTTGTACTTGATTGGACTTGAGTGCAATTGGGAACTGTTAGATAGAATATGCTCTCAACTCCAACAAAAGTACTGTAAACTAATATTTGTGATTGAATAAATTCATTTCATTATTATTTCATATATATGACATATTTCTACATAATACTCCTTAAGTTAGACATTTATAAGTTTTATGTTAGCTTAAAATGCTCTTAGTCAATTGATAAACTTAGGGAGTTTATCATGCCAAGGCTAACACTCTTGTACTTCCGAAATGGTGGAGCAATATCATGCCAAGGCTGACACTCTTGCACTACTTAAATGGTGGAGCAATCTATCTCAATTGCTTGGGTTGGACCTATGGTACAATTAATGGGTGTCTTGACAAACAATGAATAACTCCATTTCTAGTTTAACCTTGGACCTTGGAGGTAAATGAGTGAAAGTTGCATTTAATCCTTTAACTTGATAATGATACTACATTGGGTGTTAGACTGATTTGCTTTCGATATGCCAACCAATGACACTTTTAGGGTTAAATACCTGGGTATATTAGAATATATTGAAAATATACTTTAGTGATTGAAACCTAAAATTGTCGACAATAGATTTCAACATGTTTTGATTTTTGAAATAATTTTGCAAAATGTATTTATATTTATAAATAGTTCATTTTAATAGAATCTATAAATGGTTTTAACCCAATGATCCGATATAAATAGAGGGTTTTTAGTAGTTAGGGAAGAGGTCCTTCTTTATTTGTACTGTTATGATATTATTGACTAAAAGATTTTATATAAATGTCTTCTTTGGCTTTAAATATTTGTGTACATTAACTCAACCCAAATTAATAGTCTTGGACTCATAAGGTGGCTGAGACTTAAGTTTAAATTTAAAGTTTAACGGGCCAATTATTGGCTCAACACACCTAGGCAAATTTACAAGCTGGATTCGACCCATGTGTAGGTTACACTTAAGTGAAGTGCGAACCACTCTTCTATATTTAATTTGGCCGAGTTCTTGGTGGGTCTCACACAACATGGACACCTTTTCTTATTTATCCTAATCCTCAACAAGATTTATAAGTAACCTAATGTTTGTCATGATCTAAAATAGAGTTCTAGTTAGAGTCATAATTAACTTGCTTGACTAGTCAAAGTCCTAGCTAAATTAGAAACCCCAATTAGATTGGTACTTTCCTAATCATATTAGGAGAGAGTTTAGGCAATAATTTTTGGACTCTAATGCTTATATAAACCCTTGGGTAGACCAGATCATGCATCTTTTTACAAACTATTCTTTTGAGAGTTTGTGAGAAAATAATTCATTACTATGGAGAGAGAAAACTTAGAAACACCATTAGGGTTTTCTCTCCCAATCTTGAACAACATTCAGACTTGTTCTTGGAGAAGATCAAGGAATCAATTGACCATATCTCAAAGTTATTTCAACGGCAAAATGTTGATGGGTCTATGGGTGCAAGTTGGGTTGGCCCAAGTTAACAGTTGACATTATTTTGGGCTCGGGCTTCGGGTTGGGCCCATTGGAATTTTGACAAAATCCCAACCCTAACCCACAAAAGTTGCACCCCTAGCGGGTCATCAAAGATCAAGGAACAATCTTGGAGGTGTGACACATCTTCATCACCAACATTATACTATTGAGACTACGATAAGGTGATCTGACATGAACTACCAATTGGATGATCTACACTTGTGGACTATCAAAATTTCACATATAAGAATTTAAATTGTAAATTGTCTTCTTTAGTTTGAGAAACCTTGATGGAAATTTGGTCCTCCAAATAACATCACGACACGTGGCATCCAAGAAGACACCTTAGCGCTGAGTAAGCAAATCACCTCGGCAAGTTGGATTGTAGCATCTCGCATAGGTCGACTTGGAATTCCTTGGCGTGGCCGGGTTAATAGGGCCCTGAACTAGGAGCGACCTACTCCCGAATTGGCCGAGCTACGAGAAGTACCATAGGCAACCTACAAGGCATGCTCGCTGACTTGTCGCATAGATTTGTTGCCAATCTGAGATCTCTGGAGCATTGAGGAGTCGACCGTTAGGCCGGCCTATCCGCACCGCACACACCTAAATTAATCAGATGGACCTCAACCCCCGAACATATTACGTAACCGACATCATTATTTCCCTGGTTGAATGGAAATGGCTCCACCATAACATAAGACCTATTGTAAGAGATCATTGAATACTCACGCCTATATAAAGGGCTCATTTCTACGTAAAGAGGTACGCGTGATTAAGCTCTCACACTTTCTAAATCTTCAAGAACCCTTAAAAACATCTCGCTGACTTAAGCGTCGGAGCGCCCACCCCAGGTACAAATAAACTAGGCACTCTCTCTCTCTCTTGTAGTAACAGAACAGCTCGGCCTTTGGCAAGGCAAGTATCCGGTTCAGCGTTTGAATCATTAGACACGTGGGAGCCACTAGATCGCGCTACATCAAAAATCTTGGAGGTTGATGAAACAATCTTGGGTGAATTTCAGTTTGAAAACCCTAAACCGATTTACTAAATTTGAATTTAGCACATCACAAAAGTTTCGAACTGGAATTCTCCCTCTTGGAACCATTGGATGGTGGCCTTTCTTCACCTAAATCTTGCAAAACATATCGATTTTATTTGGTATATAGTAAAATTTGAGTTAAACTGATAAAATATCTTAGTATAATGGGGGGGGGGGGGTTTAAAGAAAGGAAGCAATTATGCTAGTTGTCAAGAGTATTTAAGTATTGTATGCAGGGAGATGACACCAAATGGTGGAGAAGGTGAACTTATCAAGGACTATGGGCTATGACTAGTCTTGCCCAAGCAGATATACTTTGTTCCTAGACAACTAGTAACAAATGGATGGAAATGATGTCATGGAGCTAATGGGTGGGCAAGTCACACCTCTTCATGGTTCAAGGATGCAGTGGAAGACTAGGTCTGGAGCTAATGGATGGAAATGATGTCATGGCCTTCATACATTGTTGGGAACTAAGTTATAAAAGGTTTGTGCCATCTTCTATTGTTACTTGTACATAGAGGTGTCAATTGAACTGGATTTGGTCCAACCCGATCCAATCCGATGTGAGTTGATTTACAAATGGATCGGAGCCTATTCAATCCAAATCTAATACAAATTAAATCCAATCCAATCTATTAAAATATAAATTAATTGGATTGGATCCAATCAAAACCGAATGAAATATCAAAAATTATATATAAAAAAACAAAACATATAAAAATTACAAAACTATATTAAAATGAAGAAATTTGAAAATTACAAAAATATACCATTTTGGCATTGAAAAAGCACTTCTGTAAAAGTGCTTTCATAAAAATATTTTGATAAAAATGCTTTTGTAAAAGTACATTAATGAAAGTACTTTCATAAAAGTACTTTTATAAATGTACTTTCATAGAAGTGCTTTTATAAAAGTACTTAAGTACTTCCGTAGAAGTGCTTTTGTAAAAATGCTTCCATAAAAGTTTTTTTATATAAATGCTTTTATAAAAATACTTTTATATAAATGTTTTTGTAAAAGTACTTTCATAAAAGTGCTTTTGTAAAAGTGTTTTCATATAAAAATACTTTTGTAATAGTGCTTTCATAAAAACATTTTTGTGAAAGTGCTTTCATAAAAATATTTTTTTAAAAGTGCTTTTGCAAAAGTACTTTTCATAAAATTACTTTTATAAGAATGTTTTCGTAAAAGTACTTTCATGAAAGTGATTTTATACCGACTTCAATTTTGATCAGTTTCAAATTGGACAAGGGTTTGACCTCATGATCGAATTATTGAAATTTTGTTTTAGGTCCAATTCAGATCAATAAGAATATGGACCAATTTATTTTGGATTGGCCCAATCCAATAAATATACAGACCGTCCCAATCCGATTTGATAAGGTTTGGACCAGATTGGATCCAACCCAAAACTGACCGATTGACATCCCTACTTGTACACACCCAGTCGTCATGAACAACCTTTCTTTACCAACTCCTCCCAGCACTGCATGTTGTTCGGAGTCAAGTTAACAAACATACCAAGTATAGGCTAAACCAGTGATGGTCTTATAAAAATCCCATGGCTTTGAGTCCTTATCCATGGCGTACGGGCCTAGAGTGTCTTCAAACTTGCTTGCCTGTTCATGAACACTTCCTCTCAAGCCATCTTACTAACGCAACGATGTAAGGGAGGATAGTAAGCAGGAGGATATGGTTTTTGAACAATCCTTTAACTGTAAGTTTTCTGCAATAACATTAGAACATAAATCTCAGCTGCTCTCTGCAATTTTATTTCCTTTTTTTTTTCTGAACTTAGCTTCCATTTGATTATGGTGTTTGGGGATTCTTACCTTTTAACAGTGTGATGTGATTGTGAAGAGGGAAATTAAATTAACAATAAGAATTCTAATGAGCATAAGTTCTCCCAACATCATAATCAAGATCGAAACAAGAGGGGGTCCACTCAAGACAGTGTATCTAATAAGAAAGAAGAAATCTTAAAATTAATCCACTCACAAGTTACAATAAACATCCAACTTTACAACAATTACAGTCGCATATGCCTCCCCAATACTATGTAGTAATTAAAATAAAAGAAAAACATATGCCTATCTCTTGAAAGGCATCTTTATGCTCAATTTACTTCCCACCCCAACTCCCTGTCAAAACGAGCAATCAAGGATTTGCAGAAACAATGGTGTTAGGGTGTTTAGTCACAGCAGCCAGGATGTCGGTGTAACCCACCACCCCAACCAAGACATCCTCACTATCAGCCTCAGTCACCCAGACATGGGTTGCCCTGTGAGACAGCATCTGTGCCATGACAGCAGCCAAAGAACTCGTGACTTTGCAAGTCAAGGGTGTACTCCTCCCTCTGTACATGTTCCTTCCTACAGCAAGGGTTGCGATTGTTGGATTGGTGAAGAATCCTATGCTTCTACTACAGAATTTCCTAGGCCTTAATCCTCCACCCCCACTTCCATCCTCGCTGATAGTTGAGTTAATTGGGAAATCAGGAAGAGATCTTGGGGATGTATTATCCTCAACACCCATTACAAACTGCCCGGCTGACAGGTTTGCCAAGGCCCAGGCAGCTGCAAAGTAATCACATTTCCATAGCTTGGAGGCTGAGATCTCCCCAATGATCTTGTACTGTCCCTCTGGTGTAAACTCCACAACAGCCACTGCACTGGGATCTGGGGGAAGTTTTTTGGTGGCATTAATGGCAGGGGAAGAGGCCTCAAGAAAATAAAAGTTTGGGTTGATAGCCCCAAGATAAGAGATGGAGGAGAGAGGCAATGGAGCAAGAGCACCAAGGCATCCAATAACAAAACGGATCACATCCTCTCTGGACAGGCAACAAAGCTTGTTCTCACGAACAGAGACAGAAGAGGAAGAGGAAAGCCGATTGCTGCTTGTGGCAGAGTTGCTATTATCAAGGTTTTTAAGCCACTTGCCATTGTAGAGAATTGAGAAACGCTTGCTCATACCTTTCCATACCACGCTTTTTGGCACAAGGAGGCGTCTGACTCCTTGTTTCATCATCTCCAGTGCATCAATGAGTCTTGCATTACAAACAAGAATCAAGAGATATTAATAGTGTAGAATGGAAAGTAACACCATATTCATTGTCCATGACTTAAAGAAAGTTTTCCTAAAAGTTACAAGAATGAGGAATTGTCTACATTAAATCTACATGTCATGATTCAATAAGAATACTCTCATATGGTTGGGCACTTTCAACCACTGTTTTGGGTTCAGATGGGATTAACTATAATACACAGTAGGATGTGGCTTTTTTGTAGGATTCAATCTGACACATCAAAAATGTCCTGCCCATATGAGAAGTCATTCATTCTACCCTACCAATTTGATACACAAAAGGATTAAATCACATAGGGACTGGGAGCATTGAAATTAAAACATTCAAAACAAGAATAATCTATACTGTCAACCAAAAACAGATGACTTCAGATGAAAAGAAAAGAATTTCAAATGCTAGATATATGTTGAAATAGACATTATGACACCATTTGAAGATGGTTTAAATAGTTTTCTTGACTGGCCCAGCACATGAGAAAGAGTCAATAGAGTTCAGAGTTTTGTCCTGAGCTGGGATATGGTTTATTTTCCTCTAATTGAAAAGGGTTTGCATAACAGGAAAACATATATTGGATGAAAAGCAGCTTCTGTTGAAAATGCAGTGGAGCAATGACAAGCCATTTTGTCCTCTCTAGTTGATGCAATGACAAGTCAGTGCCTAGATGCTGACTAGTCAATGAGAAGATATGTTCTAAATCTAAAATGTTGATGTAATCTCCTATAATCGTGTCCCATATTCATTTTCTTTTCTTTTTTCAAAAAAATCTATGTGCCGGAACTTTATGACCACCAGCATAGATTTTTACCAGCAGATGTCGAGCAGTCAATGCTTGTTGGCATAAGCTTTCACAACAATGTGCCAATAAACATCTATGTCAGCGGTTTTGGAGGCCAGCAGTTTATGACCACCGGCATAGAGCTTCTTTGAAGAATGAGAATGAGCAACATGGGGCATGATTATTTTTTCATGCTACAAGTTACCTCAATTTTTGTATCAAGGGCTGATTTGTCATTCTAAAAAGAATGAGGCCCATGGCCAGAATTTTGTAACCAAACGCTATAATGTTATTCGTTCTTGCCCAAAATGAGTAAGAATTGAAAGAATGAGGCCTAGAGCAGCAAACTAAACATGACCTTAATTGTCCTAAGCAACTACATGAGTATCGACCAACTAGTTACCGATGCAGTTAGTGTGGCCACCAACCAACTAGTCAATCAACTAGTTGACGACTAGTTCAAACTTTAAGTCCTTAACAAAACTGGAAAGTACTTTGCCGAAGTCAGGACTTAAGAGCTCATTAATTCTGAATGGAGTGAATGTTTTGGGACCAAGAATTTGTCTAGTCAGCTCATCCTAAGGTCTGTGCATGGTGGCTTTTAAAAATAAGAGCTGGATTGTTATACTTAAATGGAGTTACAAAGTTAATAGTTCATTTTGGGTTGAAGGTGGTTCTAGTAACCAGAAGTTGATATGGAGAGGGATTTTTCATTAGACAAAAGATTATTTACTCCTGCCTAGCTCTTGTTAGGTTGATCTCACCATTATGTTGCCACGTTGCAGCTTGCACTGGTCTCAATCATTGGGTGGATTTGTCCAATATTTCCACCTTGATTCACAGCTCTTTCTAAATTAATCCACCATGGGCTATGAAATAACATTATATGCAAGAGTATTCATTTATAAGTGGGTAAAGCTGATTTATTTATAAACGGGCCCAACTATTACTTTAAATATGTCTTTTTATGGCTAATTGTGAATCATGTGATAAACTGTCATCTTATTATGATCTCCTTTTCTTCTTTCCTCCTCTTTATTTCTTTCTTCTTGACCAAAGTTCTTGAAGTGATTGAAAATGGATTCAACATTAAATAACTGGAAATCAAATAACAAGCAACTGAATTGGGCTTGTATTTAATGGGCTTTTTGATAATGGCTAAAGTTTGATGAGCAGAATGGCTTATTGTTTTACATTTCTTTTAGCAGATAAAGATTTTAAATAATAAAATATTTGAGGGTATAATAATCAACCCAACTTCAGTTTCAGCCATTAAGGAGCTCATAATCTCCTTACTTAATTAACTAAAAAAAGCAATAAACCATTCAGTTCAACCACTTCAGTTGCTATTAAATGTATCCTAAGAGATTTTTAAATTTGAAAATCCTGTTGAACGCCTTGAAATAATACTTTTTCTTGGGGTTGTTTACTAGTGAGGGACAAAAGGAATTGACATACATTCAATAGGAAATTGGTCAATAAAGAACAGTTGCTGGTTGATCAATAAAAATGTCCAAGTCTTTGTGGCAAGAGTGGTCATACTTAAATGTCCCCACTTCTTTTTGGAGAAGTGAGAAAAGTTACCCAGCCTTGTTCAAAGAACCGCATTCTGTTCTTGCAAGAATTCATTGGTCTTATCAGATGTTGAAGAAAAAGATGCTAATGGATAGAAGCATTACAGACATTAAGTCCCATTTGTACTAGTAATTGTTTGAGATACCTTTTAGAACACTGAAATCTAATCCACAACATTTACACCGTGGGCAACAAGAATCAAGGTTAAAACTGCAAGGAAGAGTTCAAAGTTCAAACAGGAAAAAAATGAAGCTACAGTAATGACGGTCTATAAAACAAGATACATACAAAGTTAAACCATCAATCAAACAGCTGCACAACAAGGTTTGCTACAAGCACAGAACAAATATCAAAAGGTTGATCAATGAGCCCAAATAGAGTAAGGACATAAAAATCCAAGAAGAAATCCATAAAGAGATGAGAATCAGGTTGAAAACCTAAACTAGAACTAAAGCTGATACATGAGCATGAATAAATAATCTGCAATAGCACTGAACAGAACGGAATGGCCAAACAGGATTGTTCAATAAAGTGATGAAGATCCAACACAGAAAACAAATCAACAACAGAGAAACCAAACCTAAATCAAGCCACATATCACCGAGACGCATCAAACAACAGATGGAAATCTTAACGAAACAAATAACATGTGAGAAAATCAAAATTCATCCAAACTAACAAAAAAAGGACTCCACAAGCACAACAGGGCCACAATCACAAGATCACCAAGAGAAGTAACACAAGCACAGAAAGGTAAATAATGAAGAGTAAACCTACCTAGATCACCAGTACTCAGAATTTTCAGTTAGACCTTACTCCGATCACTTCAACCCATCAAAATAAAAAGCAGAAAAAATAAAAAAACAATTGAAAATTAGAGAAAAAATACTCACCTCGTTCCAGGATCAACCTCCTTCAATAGTGAACTATTCGGCACCACGACCTCTGACACCGGAGTCTTCATTGCTTTCTCCTGATCCTCCAAACATTCTTCCCTCGAGAGAAAAGCAACTATATCAAGAGAATTAAGAATACCCACAAACCTCTGCTGCCTAATCTCTGCATTTTCCACCACACTCTTCTGGTGCCTCCTCTTCCACACAGGAATTCCACCTTCCGTGCAATCACTGATAGCTCGAATTGCCGATTCAACCGTCTCCGTCTCTAGAAACTCGACCAGCTCTGGCTTCCCGACCGTTAGATCACCAACAACGTGGTACAGAAACACCGACGCCATGAAATGAAATCCACCTGGCTTGCAAGCTATAAAAGGGAGTGCAGAAAGATGAGCAGCAGAAGAAAACCGCCAATGGGTTTAGGAGGGTTCACAAAGCCACTTATGGGAAAGAGGGTTGGCGGGTTCACTGAGCAGCAGACGATGGGATTGAGAAGGCTAAGAAAACTGGCCATCGAGTGAGGAGAAGGCCCATGAAAGGTAGTTGAGTTCTTAAAAAGGAGAGAAAAGGAGGTAGAAGAAGCGCAGCCTGCGTTTTTCTGGGGTTCCGGTACAGTGTAGGAGATTTAGGGAGAGAAGAACAGGTGGAGACTGGAGAGAAGGATTGGGATGAGACGAATTAAGATATGGAAACTCTGAGAGATGATTGCAGACGCTATTTTTCATATATTTTGCTGACTTATTGGTTCAACCTTCCACGTGCAAGACAGAGACAGTCTCTCTCTCTGCTTTATTTTTTGTTTTTTATCAATTATATATTGATCGGAGAGACACCTACCGAAGAGCTTTGATCAATCAAAAATCAAATCACTCCGTGAATTTGGAATTTTGGATGAATACCACTGATTGCACACCCTTCTTTATGTTACCGGTTGATTGGCCGTAAGTAAGCCCGTAAGTTCTTCTGTATCATAGTGGAATAAATAGAATGCACATCTCACCGTGCATTGGGAAATCTCCCATACTTATCATGGAGATGTTCCCAATAAACGGGTGGGAGGTGTAGTACATATAATTTTAATTATAAATTTTTGTTTTCGAAAATTATAAATCCTGGAAGGCTGGAAACATGGTTATTAAACCCACAAATAGGGGTGGCATTTTGTCAACGAGTTGAGTTTTTGACGAGCTGTTCGACTTCGATTCAGCTCGAATCCACCCTTACCCGAAAATAGGGGTGCAAATGGATTGGTCCGAGATCCGATCCTATTTCTTCGAATTCGGATCATTCTATTTGTATCGGATTCAAATCACCCTTTATCTGATTTGAGAAGATCGATCTGATGTATACATATTTATAAATATAAATAATATATATATATATATATATATATTCATCACCAATATTATATTATTGAGGGTCATCCTGGTTGGTAATTTACCTATTTTTGCAATATTTTTTGAAACTTGAAAAATCTTCAAAAACATTGATGTTTGACACTTTTTTCTTACGTTTTTTTTTTACATATTTAGCACTCTATGAATGATTTTTGGAGTTTTAGAGTCATTTGGGAGGGGTGAAAGAAGGCTTTATTTTTTTATTTTTTATCTTTTCCACAGTGTATCAACCGGTACTCTACCGATACACCTCCTATACATGCCTGATACAGTCTGATATGGTGGAAAAAAGATGATACAACCAATTTTGAAATTTGAAACCTTTGGTCTTACAAGGTAGGTCCCATTGATTTTCTTAAAGCCAAATTCTATGTGGGTCTCATAGGTTAAGGATGTAGTGGGTTTTATCTCTTTGGAGAGAAAACAAGATAGGGACCTACTGGAAACAGGTTCAATGATCTATACAATTATGGTAATGATGTGCATATAAGAATGATGGATGCAGAGCCACCAAACTCTCTACATGGACCGAGCATATATGGTCCTTGTGACAATTTCATAAACCACATACACAAGCAATCATCAAAATACTAGAAAACAAAACAAGGCTTTGGAAGCCGAAGCCCAACGATGTTAAAATACTATCAGCCCATAATAGCAATTTAAAACTTCTTTGCATACAAGTCCAATTGCAAAAGGTAGTTCAGCCCATATGCTAAGGTATGATTGAATTGGGCTAGTTATGCTTTAACTTCTTCAATTGGGTTTCTAAGCATGAGCTGAATTGGGTAACATGTTGGCCCATCAAAAACCTAGTTTTTTAGGCCTTTTTAGACACCTTTAAGTAGTGTTCATGGACTGTTAACAATTTGCCATCTTGGGATGAGCTAATAAATTGGTTGTTCTAGGTCAAATCAGCTTAGGGTTTGGTGCTCTAACACCTCATCCAATTCCATGTATATGATCTGAATTTTCACAACAATAAATCAGCAATAAAACATAGATAAAATAGAAAATAAACATAATCAAATTATGCTAAACCAAGGCTTGGAGTTTGGTGATCAAAATTGAAGAGTTATCATGTTAGGGGTTAAATGTAACTTGGGATAACTAGAGATGACCCCTATTTAGTGTTTCACTAAACATCCACTCATTGTAGTTGGGACTAATCCTAATAGTATAGACAAGTTGTCGTATTAAATCAACATTACAATAATATCTAAATTCCCTAATTTCATTAGATGGATGAGAACACTCAAAATTAACATAAATCTCATAAATATCCGGTTTATGGGGTAAATTATAAAAACATAGCTAAACATACATGAAATAACAATATTCTGATTTCATTCATTAATAAATATCAAATTACATTAATCTAGTTTGAGTTGAGGGCATGTCCTGTCTAATACTATATTGGGATTTATCAATTCAGGTTGGCCTTTTTTCTCTTCCATTAGCATTAGTCTCAATTAATTTCTTTTCTTTACTTTGTTATTTACCTTAGAATAGTTTTAGGTGTATGCATCTTATTATTGTCTCGTGCTCATATGACTCTAAATTAAGGACCTATTTGGCAAGTCTTTTTGGGAAGATATTCTAGTTGCTCTGAAAGTCAAAAGACGCATTAAGCTTTTGCATGAAGATCTGAGCAGCTCGAAGCTAGTTTGGCAGATACACATCTTTCCGTGTCTTTCTGCGCAAGAATAAAACACAAAAAGCTTCATTTGGAGCTTCCCGAAATCAGCCCAAAATGGACTTCTCACGTCTTTTCGATGCTCTGATTTTTGGCAGGTAGATCTTCCACAAACCAAACAGGAATAGACCAAAAATTGGTCTGCTTGGCTTGTAGACAGCCAAAAGACCGTGCGGAAAAAACACGCTAAACAAGCCCTAAGTTTAAGTATAATCCAATGAATAGAAAAGAGTCCCTTTAGTTGATGATGCATCTCTCTCTCTCTCTCTCTCTCTCTCTCTCTATCTATCTATATATATAAAACAAGGCAATGAAGAAATTTTCTCCTTTTCTCCTTTTTGAATTTTTTATTTTTTTATTCCATGTCATATTTGAAACAACCAATGAGATGCACTTTCCCAATAACCTAAATAGTCACTTCTCCTAAAATTTCTCCTAAACTACCTCCCCCACTATCCCCCACTTTCTCCAAAATTTTCTCTAATTCCTATTTATCTTCTAAATTATCTCTAATTCCTATTTATATTCTAAATTATCTCTAATTCCTATTTATCTTCTAAATTATCTCTAATTCCTATTTATCTTCTAAATTATCTCTAATTCCTATTTATCTTCTAAATTATCTCCAATTCCTATTTATCTCTAATTTAGTATGAGGTTCTCTCCTAAATTATCTCTAATTCCTATTTATCCTCTCCCCTACTTTTTATCTATATCTATCTAATGAAAATTTGAATTAAAAAATTTAAGATTTATTTAAATATTCTAACAAAATTATATAATAACTTTGAAATATTTATTAAAAACACAAAAAATAATTTCATATTTTTACCAAATATATCATGAAATTATGTACTAACAATTTAAATTATGATTTTTTCTGGATTATCAATTTAAAAGTTTTTTCAAATATTTAATAATATGTAATAGATTTAAAGAAATAAAATAAAAATAACAAAAAATTTAAATATTTTATAGAATATTTGAATATTTAAATAACTAAATTTTTATCATAACTAGATTTTAAATATCTAAAATAACAAAATTATGTAATAAATTTAAAAAAAAATCTTCAAAGTAGAAAAATAATTATAACATAATATTTAAATTAATAATAATTTAATATATTATAAAATTAATAATGAAGTTATGTAATAATAGTATAAATTATGATTTTATGGATAATAATTTAAATATTTTACATATTATTTAAGTATTTAAATAACTAAATATTTTAAATAAAAAAATATTTAACATAACTATATTTTAAATAGTTAAAATAAAGAAATTATGTAATAAATTTAAAAATTATAAAAAGTAGAAAAATAATTATAACATAATATTGAAAATAATAATAATTTAATATTTTTACATAACATTGTAAATTACTATTTCACTTATATCAAGTAATAATTAGAGAAAATAACTTTAAAAAATTAATATTTATTAATAAACTCTTAATCTGTATTTATTATATAATTGTATATACTAAAATTAATTTTTATTGTATTTTAGTAATGATTTGTTGTTTTTTGTGATAAATGTATTTTCATTGATTATGTATAAATTTATTTTGTTTTGTTATTTAACAGAAAACTTTCAATAATTTTTGGAGATTAAACTACTTTTATTGAAAATTTCAAATTTAATTTATTGTACTTATTATATTTCTTTTATAACTTATTGATTAATATTTATAAGAGATTAAACTATTATTTGAGATTATACTATTTATTGATTAAGCTAATATATTTTTAGTACTTATTGTATTTTTTTAATTATTGTTTTTTTCATTATCAATATATTTTCAATAATTGTGTATTTTTGCTATAAGTTTTCAATAATTATTGGAGATTAAACTATTGTTATTTATCAAAGATGAAACTACTAATTTAGCTGAAATTATGAGTGTTCATGAGTTGGTTCAGTTTGGTCGTAGGCTATTTGGCCAACCAAATTGACCTAGTTAGGTTGGGGAGTCGGTCAGCTGAAACCGACTGACCTTTTGTGAAAACTGACTCACTCAAGTTGTATCGGTTTGGGTCGGTTTTTTGGTTTGGTCAGTCAATTCAAAAGATTTAAACTTAAAAATTAAATTTAATTTTAAAAATTATAGTGAAATTATTAAAAAATAAATTTAAAAATTAGATTTATGATATAAAACATTTTAGTCTAAGAAATGTGGGAAATTTCCCACTTTTTCATATTAAAAATTATATTTAAAATATAAAATATGAATATATATCCATAGTTAGGTTGTTTGATTTTGGTCGGTTTACAAATGACCAAAGTGAAACTGATCTAACTTGGTCGAATTGGGAAATTTTTGAACAAAAGTTGACCTAAAATACTAAAAAACTGACCAAACTCGGGTTGAGTTGATTGGGTTGGTCAGTTTCATTAGTTTGACGAATAAACCTAATTGAAATTAATTATTGTTAATTTGTATTATAAAAAATTACTAAAAGCATTATATAAAATATGAATAATTATTAATTATTTAAAAAGTTGAAAATATAAAACAATTGTATATACTCTTATGAGTTCACATCTACGCCCCACAATTTCCCATAGCATATCCCCGTCGTTTATTGGGAACATCTCCCAATGATGACATC